TTGTTGCCCTTGAAGATCATAAGTTGGAATGTGTGGTGTGAGGTTATGAAGAGAATGGGCTTTGAGGAGAGATTGATTAGATAGATCAATGGTTGCCTGTCAAATGCTTATTTCTTAATTCTGATCAATGGATGCTCTAAAGGCTCTTTTAGAGCAACAAGAGGTTTAAGAGAAGGGGACATCTCTCATCTTTCTTATATACTTGGGTGGGTGAAGGCTTCAACTTGATGTTGCAAAATATTAAAGTTTTGAGGAGATTTAAAGGCTTTAACATATCTTTGAGGGGTCCCATAATAACACACCTACAATATACAGATGATACAATTGTTTTCTGTAGTGATGATGTTGAGGAGGTACGCAATATTTCTACATTCCTAAGGTAATGTGAAGTTGCATTGGGCCTTAAAGTTGACCGCTATAAAATCTCTATAGTGGGGGTAGGATGTGGTGAAGAGCTTGTGAGAACTTTTGCAAGAAGAGTGGGATTTAGAGTTGAAAATTGTGTTATAAATTATCTGGGCCCTCTTATATCAGAATCTAGATTTCCAATGAGCGTATGGGACTCTACTGTTAAAAGATTTTAGGTGAACTAAGATATTTGGAAAACAAAAATTCTTTCTCTGGGGGGGACTTATTACTCTTATCAAGTCCTCTTTAGCTAACTTACCTATTTACCAAATGTCTTTGTTGGTAATGGGATAGGGTATGCACTCCCAAGATGTCATTATTGCCTATTAATACTATTGACAAATTTATGCATAACCTTTTATGAGGAACATTGGAAGGTGGGAAAAATAGCATTTGGTTAACTGGGTTAGGATATGCCCTCCCAAGATGGAAGGGGGCCTTGGCATTAGAACCTTTTAATAGGGTTTTATTGGCCCAGAGATGGTGGATGTCTATGATTAACGAAGATCGATTATGGAGGAGGGTATTGAAAGCAAAAAATGGGGAGGATCGCACTACTAATCTCACTAAGAGTAGATCATGGTTATTCGTTAAAAAAAAGATAATGGATCACGATTGAATAAGCAATTTTCACTTGGAAGTTATTAGTCATTGAACATTCTAGATGGATGGTATGATAGGGGAATACAATGAATTTTTGGTTCCATAAACGGTTGGGGGATAAGCCATTGAAGGGGAGATTTCTGGAGCTTTTTTTTTAAAGTGGTGAATCCTTTGGTGAAAGTAGAAATGTTTTTTCAAGACAATGGGAATTTGCAATGGAATATTCAATGTAGCTATAATAGAATGCCATATGTTGTTACTATACAACTGGTTGAACTGTTGCATGAGTTGCAACGGGTTTATATTCCAAGAGATGCAAGAGATGACGTGACTTGGGAGAAAGAGAGTGATGTCGTCTTCTCTATGAAATATGCAAGATGCCTATAAGTTACTTTTTCATGATAGAGCAAGGTAGAGAAGAATTTGGACATGGCATATTCCTCATAAGATACAAGGTTTTTAATGGATCCTTATGCAAGGGAGAACTTTGACAATTGATAACCTTTAAAAAGAGGTAAAATAATGCTTAATGTTTGCTTGCTATGTAAATGTGATGAAGAAATGATGACTATTTATTCTTACATTGCGATGTTACTAGTAGGCTTTCGATGTGGGCTTTTCATATTTTAGAATGCTCATTGTTGCTGCCATAGACATTATTAGCATTTAGCTATATTTTGTGTTTGTCACTATTTCGTTATGTGGTAGATATACTTGCATGAGAATTTTAATATTCTAAATGTCGAAGAACCTAATGAAGAATCTCAAGAGAAATTAGTTTCACTTGATCATTTACATTCACATAGTTTTTTTTTGTTTTTAAAAGGAATCCTTTACTTCCACATTTACTTGTCAAGTAAAACTGTTTGAATTGCACATGCGTATAATATTTAGGAGTTTGTTGTTTTGTCATTTTTATTATTGATTTATTCATTTGTTTTTGCAATATTGGTATTTTTACTTTTCCACTTTATCACAGTTTCCTTGTCTCGCTTAGTGACGTTCTTGTTTACAGGTCACTCATAAACACTAGCTCAAGCTCTGTGACTTTGGAAGTGCAAAAGTTTTGGTGGTTATGCTTGATGTAGAATCAAATTTCCTTATAATTGCAAAAACTCATGTTTCTGGTTTTGATGATTTATGTATTCTGATTGACAGGTGAAGGGAGAGCCAAATATATCAAATATTTGTTCTAGATATTATAGAGCTCTGGAACTAATATTTAGAGCCACTGAGTACCCCTCAACGATTGACATCTGGTTAACTGGTTGTGTTTTGGCTGAACACTTGCTTGGACAAGTGAATTTTTGCTATTGATTTCATTATGCTTATGTCACTAATAATCATATATGATGAAATTATACGATTGCTAATTTATCAACAATGAACTTTGCCAATCTCATCTTTAATTTTGGTATTTAAGTCATATTTTACGAATTGTAAGTTTTATTATAGCCCATGTATGATTATATACTTCATCCATGATAATTTTATGCTTCTCCTTTTGTATGATATAAATTTAATGGTTAACAATCGTTTATACAGGGAAATAACATCTCAATATTCACATATTGATGGAAAAAAATGAAAGTTATTAATGTAGTACCCCCATTTCATATTGGATTCTTAAAAATCAACATTTACAATGATTTTTGATAATTTATTTGGATTTTTTTAAGGTCGAATCTGGTCAATTCGTTCGATTCTCGATCCAAAACGCTGATTCATTGATTCATATGGGTTTTTGGGGTGCCTGATCCGCGGCACCAATCCGTCTTTTAAACCACTGGTTGCACTATAATACTTCGGAACTATGCATTTCCCAACAAGCACATATGCTATCTCCTGTGGGTGCATACTATAGCACTACTCTATTGGCCAGATAACCTACTAGGAAGTTTTCAATGTGAAAATTTGGGATCCACCTAAAAATCATTACATGATCATTTTCAAAAGAGAAATTTCAATTTTAAGTTTTCTAACACTAATATTTCATTATAAAAAAAAAAAATAGATAGTCTATGTTCAATCTTGAGATATTATTATTTTTCAAATGCAAAGAGTGCTATTTAGAATTTTTTTCATTGAGGTGTTAGTCTATGAGTATAAAATTTTACATCTCCAAAATTGAAGGTCCTACGGTTACTCCCATATTGATCCGAGGGAGTAAATAGTCAAATCTTTTAGCTTTCCCAAAAAATCTATGTTTTAGAATGTACTAAAATTTATATTTTCTAAACAGTATGATGCCATGAATATTAATAAGAGGAAAAATGTTGCGTGGGTTAGGGGCTTCAAGAGCGCGTTAACTCACAAGCAGCCATAATAAAGATGGACGTTGTATAAAGTGTACACCATAAATTTCATATAGACGGTGCACCAAAAATACCAAAAAAATATTTTTTTAATTTAAAAATAAAATTTTTCTTTTTCATATTCATGATCATCTTATCTAGATGACGAATCCATAAAAAAAAATTAGATAAAAAAAATCTAAAATAGATTTTAGAGGGAGAGATCATGTATACAGATGAGTGGGCCGACTCATAAAAACCTCATCCCCAAAAATAATAATATATGTCGCTTATCACTGTCCAATCAATGGGTGGACGGTGAAAGATATAAAGTGGGAGGTAAATTTTTTGTCTCCTCCATTGGCATTCGACCATCAAGCTTGATGTGTTCACAAGATAAAGGGCCACATGAGTGACATTGGGCGGGCCCAATAACATATGCCATGGTTTTAATGGAAAATTAAAAAATGCTTTCTAAATTGGGTATTTTGTTTTCATTGGAAAATTGTTTCATGCGAGCTGGATCACATCTTAAAGATGGATGTTCCATCTAAAAACAATGGACACTAATGATCAAAATATTTTCTTATTATAATTATTATTTCAAATTTTTAAAATTTATTTATTTTATATATTCGTGATCTCCATATTAGAGATTATATATCTTTAAAAATTTAGTCTTAAAATCCATCTCAAAAATAGATTTATTAAGTGGTCTACATTTCTACATATGTGGGCTTTACCACATAGAAATCGGATCCATTTCATTTTACTATATTACATCCTCAAAGTATAATCTTAAAGTGGGCTGACCTATTTAGGGTTAGCAAATCTTACAAGAAAAATACTTAAAATGTCCAGTCTGAGCTAGGGTGGTACAAGGGGGGCTTCCAGCCCTAAATAACCGTAATTTAAGTATTTTTATAAATGTTTTTTTGATTAAATACTTGAGTGAGATGAAAATTCAACTTAAGGATTTTATAAAGGGTTCTAACCATTGAAATATTTTCCCAAGAGATAATATGGGCCGTCCCATGAATGGTCAGATGGCTCATATTTAATTTTGCAAAATAAGACAACCAACATTATGTCCAAGTCTATGTATTAATTTTTTGAAAAAAAATAAAGTGTGATGATCTCACATTTTTCACACAATATCTAAGCAGAAGATTTATATAAGGTTGCAACTGAAAGAAAGTTGCTATCTACACCCTCCATTTTATTTGAATGGTAAAAATTTCATACTATCTTTTGATACTATTTTTTTATTTTATTTTAATAGATATGTTAAATCTATATGTCCAACTAAAATAAACCATGTAGAACATGAGAATCTTATTTCTACAAATTGCAACCCTAGATTGGACCCTTTATTTATATCTAAATTTGATGCGCACAAAAAGAGAATGCATATTGAGTAAACATGCCATCCATGTCTCCCACTGTGGTTCAATCTGAACCGTCCAATTGGCTGGGCAGCTCACATGTCCTAATCGATGAGCAACATATAATATGACCTTGATGGTCATGCTGCTATCATGACCAAATTGATCATATATACGGTCCTGTATATCAAATACGTCTCTCATCGAGGTCTAATCAGCTACTCAAACACCACCGTCCCTTTTATGAAGATATGGTGATAACTCAATGAATCATATCGAGCAATATATATATAGCAAAATAGCAGGGATGCCCCTCACATTTCCTCTTTCTAAATCTGAAGCCTTTTGATTTTGGCTCTGGGTTTACCCTTGGCACTGTAGGTGTAACCCTGCAACTTAGGGTTTAGTTCTTCTCCTCTCTCTTTCCATTTGCCATTACTTCCTACTCTCTCTCCTCTCTCCCCTTTCAAAAACCCTAAGAATCTCTCTCGTTTCCCTATACTGGTTAATACACCACACACAGAAAGTTGGGGCGTTGGAGAGATACAAGAGAGAAGTAGATCATGGGTTCCTGATATACATAGCGACTACATAGAGAAGGGGGAAGAAATCTAGAGAGAGAAAATGACCCAGCAAGGAGCAATCACACCCAGGTCAGTTGCTAAGCAATCCGTAGCAACACCATCGAAATCATCCGGCTACGACACTCGCCGCTACGATTCGAGCCGCTATGAGGCTCAGAAACAGAGAGACTGGAACACCTTTGTCCTCTATGCAAAGAACCACCAACCCCCCATCTACCTCTCTAAGTGCGTAGGCTCCAATGTGATCGACTTCCTCAAAACCCTCGATGAGCTGGGCAAGACCAAGGTGCATGTCTATGCGTGCCCTTACTACGGTTACCGAGATTCTCCCAACACCTGCGCATGTCCACTGAGGCAGGCGTGGGGCAGCCTGGATGCGTTGGTGGGGCGGCTGAGGGCGGCCTATGAGGAGAATGGCGGGACCCGCGATGCTAACCCCTTTGCCTCGCAGGATGTGAGGAAGTATCTAATGGAAGTGAGGGTGGCACAGTCCAAGGCGAGGGGGATTCCTTTAGATAAAAAGAGTGAAGATTATAACTCCTTTCCTTCTTATCCTCATCCTCCTCCTGTTGTTAATACGCCTGGCCTTGCACTGGTTCCGGTCACTTTTGTTCCTGTGGCGCCGGTTGCTCCAATGTGAGTTTATAATTAGGGCTGCTGTTTTATATATTTGTGCTTTCTTTTTTCTGTCGCTTTGATTAAGGATCTGCTTCTATGATTAGGTTTTGGTGGATTTGGTTGATTGTGTTTGAGATGAGGATTTGGAAATTAGGGTTGTTAATTTGTTTCTCTTTGTTTTTTCAATGTGCTTCTACATGTAGGCTTTCGAGGGTTTATTTTGCTTGTATGTAATTAGGGTTTGGAAATTAGGGTTGAGGATTTAATTGTCTTTGTTTTAATGCGTTTTTATTGTTAGGATATGATGGATTTATTTTGCTTTTTTTTTTATTTTGGTTTAAAATTTAGTATTGTGGATATTGTTTCTTTAAATGTGTGTGTTTCTATGATTAGGATTTGTTGGGTGCTTCATTGATTTGTATCACCCTGTTTGGAGTTTGGTGGATTTATGTCTTCTATGTTGTTTCTTCTGTGATTAGGGCTTAAGGGATGGTTGGTTCGATTAATTGCGTGTGTTTTTATTTTCCTGAAATTTTTGGTGACTGTGTTAAGAAATTTTTGGTGACCCTGTTATAGGTGGGAAAGGGTTTTGGTGACAAAATTTTTGGTGACTGTGTTATAGGTGGGATAGGGCTTAAGGGATGGTTGGTTGGATCAATTTCTTGTTTTTTTTCTTTTCCTTAAATTTTTGGTGATTGTGTTATAGGTGGGAGTGTGAGGCCATATCTAGTGCAGCGAATCGTAAAGCTGCAGCAGCGAAGGGGGGATCTTTATCGCCTGAGAAGAAGACCCCTGAGAATGCGATACTTCAGATAACAGGACCTGAATTCACAGGGAGAATGACGAGGAGCCGAACTCGAGGTCTGCTGCGCTATAGTGATACTCCGTCAAAGCTGCCAGTCAAAAGGGCAAAGAAGGCAAAGGATCATGGAGAGGTCGAAAAGCCAAAGGATAATGAGGATTCAGTCCAACAGGTTGAAAAGCTGAAGGATCATGAGGGCTCGATTGAACAAGTTGAAAAGCCCAATGATAATGAGGACTCAATGCAACAGGTTGAGAAGCCAAAGGATCCGGAGGACCCAATGCCGCAGGTTGAGGAGCCTCAGGATCATGGCGACTAGGGGGCTGCTCCCTGTCTCAGAGAGAGGGAGGGAGGGGGGGGGGGGGGTGAGGAGAGAGAGAGAGAGAGAGAGAGAGAGAGAGAGAGAGAGAGAGAGATTGTGATGATCCCACTTGTGAATAAGTTGGGTCATAGTAATGTGGAGGAGGATGCAGAGACTGCAATCGTTTTGGCTAGGTTTTCAGAGCCTAGTGGCTTCATCTGCATTCAGCATTTGAATGCCATGGACATACATCAAAAGTTCTCTAGGTGTAAGCCTTTTCGTGGTCTCTAGGTTCTCGAAAGAAGGGGCTTGTACATTTTGGTTTGTCAAAGTGGAAGTTTGAACAATGATATAGTTTTATTGCGTTATGTAGTAGCTCTTATTTTCGGGGTTTTCAATTGCAATGAAGGATTAACTTTACTGAGAACCAATTGTGGATACAAGATCTGGTGGAATCTCTTGACTTATGAGTATTTAATACACGCTCCGATTGTGTCATTGATCTTTTTATGAATGTGGAGTAAATCCTTTCTTTCTAGCTTTATACTTTACCATGTCATGAATTAGGACATGCTGCAACCAACCATTTATTGGTTATGACGAATGAATGCTGTGAAAAGCATCTTCGTCCTAGAGTTAGGTTCTTCTTCATGTTTTTCTCTCGTTGATAAGTTTTCTTGTAATTATTCATGCCTGAGATTTCACAGCATTGGTTTGACTTGCATATGTTTGCCATCATCTTCTTTTCTGTTTTCTGATGGGTTGGAATTGAACTTTGGTATTCACTCACTCCTGATATTTCATGCAGGATTTTTCTTACATATGCATCTTTGGCATTGATTTGTTGTAATGGCACCTGCCCACAAACTACTGTGATGGCAGTTGTGTTTGTACTTTGTGTAAAGTTGTTTATTTTTCTTGTTTGGCTTAAACAGGAATGAAAAGGAAATGTTTTATTTGATGATTGCCTCTATTAGATATCAAACCAGTAACTGCATTCTGGACTATTCATAGAAATGTTCAATCTGCATGCTAGTTTTGGTTACAAGATAATGTGACACATCACTGTTGTAGAAAGAATAGTCAAAGACTGTGAAAGTAGACTGTGTTCCCTCCATGCCTATATTTTTAACATGAATTATGTTTTTCTTAACTTTTCTAGCTCAATTATTCATCACAAAAAATAATACTAAGAAAAAAGTTCAGTTCCTATTGTTTCTTATTACTAGTTTCTGTACTTTTAAGGCTGTCTTTTTTAATTAATTCTTGCAGAGGAGGAGGCTCGGAAAGGACAATGTGGCAGGAATGATCCCTTGAAATATTATTGAACAAGCTATGTGAGCTCACTTCATGTGAAAGGGAGAGTGTGAAATTGTGTGAGCTCACTTCTTGAACAAGTTATGATTTTGTGAATTGAGCCCTACTTAGTGGTGGGTAAAAGGGAGATTGCTTTTGTGTGAAATTTTGGTCATGATGGAGCATATGCATATCCTTACTCATGTGTCTCCTATGTTTATGGATATTTTGGTCATAATGGAGCATATGCATATCCTTACTCATGTGTCTCCTATGAGTCTATGACTTGTTCGGCTTTTCATGCTCTGCTTACATGCAGCATATGTGGACCACCTGTGGCAGAGGTGATCAAATAGAAATATGGAATAGATGCATCTGGATGGCTACCTAGAGGGGCGGTCACCCACGAGCCTCAGGCGCATGAAAAAGCAATTGCAAGCATTTTCTTGTTTTTCTCAACTGGCATTCTCTCTGTCAAGACTGGGTGCGAATAATTCTGAAAGGATGTGTGTGGGTGCTTCACAGAGCTTGGAGTTGCAATTTCCCAGCATCTTCCTTATTGCAGCCCTTCAGCAGGCAAAGATTGCTGACTGCCATGAGACTCTTGCCCCTGGGACCTTGGGGGTTGTTGGAGTTGCAATTTCCCAGCATCTTCCTTATTGCAGCCCTTCAGCAGGCAAAGATTGCTGACTGCCATGAGACTCTTGCCCCTGAGACCCTAAATCGGCACTTCATTTCATTTTTGGGAAAGGGACAAATTGGTTTGGATTCTCAAGATGCAGGCCTTCAACTGGTTTGTTATTCGATGGAGCTTTGACCCAAGACAATATTCAAAGAAGAGGTATCCCCCTACCTAATAGACGCCCAATGTGCAAAGAAGCAGGAGGTAACCGTTTACTATCTTTTTCTCCACTGTAAAATGGCATCTCACATCTGGTTCTCCATCCTAAATCTTTTTGGACTGGGTGCTAGGTCATGGCGACTTTAGTACCCGACACTTTCAAAATCTTATTTCACCCTTCATTTCCCCACCTCTGGCCTAATTCTATGTTGGGCTGTTGATCTTGTCTCCATTGGGATCATTGGTAGAGACTCCCTTCCTTTCCCCACCTCTGGCTTAATTCTATGTTGGGCTGCTGATCTTCTCTCCATTGGGATCATCGGTAGAGACTCCCTTCCTTTCCCCACATCTGGCTTAATTCTATGTTGGCCTGCTGATCTTGTCTCCATTGGGATCATGGGTAGAGAGGAACAAATCCGATTTGGAAAGCAAGTAGAGCCACATCAAACCCCTCAATGAAAGAATCAAAGCCACCATTTTGAGATTAAAAAGTATTGAAATCTATACCTTGATGGCCCTAGGGCAAAGCTGGGAATATAATATCGGTTCTATCCTGCAGACGATCACTAGATCCTCTTGTTGGATTCTGCCCAATCCTGGAGTAATCAAGTTGAATTTTGACAGTCCTCGCACAGCTGGTTCTCTGGGCATTTTCAGGAACCACTTAGCTGAAACCTTGCTAACATACGGGATTGTTAGGTACACAAGATGCTACCTCTGTCGAGGCACAAGCCCTACTAAAGGGTCTCAAAATGTTTGACACTAACGGCAGAAGCTCCCTTCTGGTAGAAGGGGACTTCCAAAAAGGTCATTAACTGGAGGAAGAAATCAGCCCCATGCCCATGGAGACTTGGAGTCCACCTTTGATGACATCTTCTTCCAATTATGCCAAGCTCTGCAAGTCATTTTCTGGCATTCGTGGTGAGGAGCAAAAGCTTGTGTGTTACCCTTTCTGAAGATGGAGCCTCTAGAACGGATCCTGGTTTGTTTGGGCCATCCTGTAAGGAATTTTGATACTTGATTTCTATAGGAATCCTTCACTAAAAGTGTTTTTTTTTTTTTGACAAGGTTACAAAGGAATAGAACCTGAGATGTCATGGAAAACCGAACAGTTACCATCTTGACCCAAGCCTGATTCCTTACCTTTCACTAAAAGTTGTCATTGGCACAAAAGGAAGTTGTATATGGCATCTCCATAATTGTGCGGTTGTGCCTGCCACCATCCTCACCTCCCATTTGTATTCCTTTTATCTGTTACATGGATACAAATACATCTTGGTTCCTGACAACATGGATATATGTTAGAAATGCCAACCTCATAATTGGCCTTTGATTGAGAATACATCACTTAGAGAGGGTGGGAGGTGGGATTTTAAGTGATTGGATTTTACGTGAAATTAAGGGTTTTCATTGTAAAACTACATGTCTTTATATAGGAAAATTGTTTCATGTGGCTGAACCGCATGACTGCATATAAGGTCCAAAAAGGTGTAAAGCATCCATCTTAAAGATGGATGCAAGTAGGTGTTCTATCTAAAAAAGTGGAAGTTTACTGTTTAAATGTTTTTTTATTAGAATTATTATTTTCATTTTTTAAATTTTATTTATTTTTTCATATTCATGATCTCAATGTTAGAGATTGTATGTCTTTTTTAAGTCCAAAAGTCCATCTCAAAAATATATTTATTAATTGGCCTGCATTGCGGGCTTGGCAGCATAGAAGCCAGGTCCTTATCTATGTGTTAGACATTTTGTCCTGCCAAGACGGAAATATGTGTCCGGGTTACAGTCTTTGACGTGTGTGGGACTGTTTGGGCACCTTGTGAGTGCTAGTTGGTGAGGATATCACCACTGAAATTACCTCCCTACCATCAATCAATATAACAGGAAAACGAAAAAGATCCCATTTAGCTCGTGGGATCAACAAGTTTGGTATGGATTGGACAGAGTAGTCTTCAATTATCAAACTTCATGTCGCTTCATAGCCTGAAGCACGATTTTAATGTTCCTAATGTACAAATTATTAAAAGAAGGGTGTGGTTTGTATAAGGCCGAGGCCCCAAACAATCAAAGTATGCTCACTTTTCCAAAGATATTTCAATATAAATTATTAAAAGAAGGGTGTGGTTTGTATAAGGCTGAGGCCCCAAACAATCAAAGTATGTGCACTTTCATATAGTGTCCAAAGATATTTCAATATCGGAAATCTTTGTGGTGGCTTGAAAATTTACTTTCATTACTAATTATACAATTTAAAGATTAAAAGATAGTGTAGATTTATGAACAATTGAAAATGCATTATTTTCAAAGCTTCAAATCTATTCTTTTTTATGTCAATGCATCTTGAGGGTGAGATTATCAATTTGAGGATTTTAAAGCATTGAAACATCTTCTAATGAAATTTTTGAGGTGCGTCTTAATTTGATTTGATTGTTCAGGGCCTCGCTATTATATAAACTTTTTTCTTAAAAAAAAAAAAAAGGTTCACAATGTACCACTTTTTGGGGTGAAGAGGGGGGAGAGGGGACCTTGGATTGGATGCTGTAGGAATTGATTAGAGTAATCTTGGATTGTATGCGGTAGGAATTGATTCTTTTTTCAAGGATGAAGGAACTTCACTCCTTAAAGATTACATCTTCTCATCGTGGTCTTTGATCTTATCATATTTGGGGTTTAATGACCTGATTAGTGTCAGTGAGCCAGGATACTGACACGAGTGTCGCGTTTAGTACATGTCTTCAGCTTCTTGTACGTTGGCCGAAAAACCCAATCTGGCACCGACACGTCTGTACAATTACACACACTAGTTTAAATATAATAGATACAAAATTAAATATAATAAATATCAGATTTGAAAATATAGATTTATTTTTTGCAATTATGGAAGAAAACACAAAAAAACATACTTGTCTCTATTTTTTATTTTCGAAATGATGGTTCTAAACCCTATTAGTAATACTAAGCATTTTTCTAGAATGATTCAAGCTCAAACAAGAACCACATATATTTTAGAATATACAAAAAAAAAAAAAACATGGGTGTGGGAGGGTCTCATAGTATCATTACTCATACAAAAATACTTAAAATTTTAAATTACTTTGGAATAAAAATTTTGACATTTATTTACAAAAATTGTTTTCTTCTATTAAGTTGTTTTTTAACTAAATGTGGTCTCTATCAAATAACTACTTACATCTTCTATAATTAATAATAGGGATTGTCAAGAGAGATCTTATCTTTTGTGTATGGAGGCCACAATTATTTTAGTCCTTTAGATTTTAAAATGAGTAGTTGTATGAATGTCATTGAATAGTTGCAAACTTCGTGGTTCACCCTAAACTATCCAATTTGATAATTAATGATATGGTAACACCTTACACATCTAGCCAGCCGTCGTGGTGGTAGCCCTTACCATCCACTGGCCATACATTCTAGGCTCTATTACCATATGTGGTAGGTATGTATTTGAACACGTTTTTTCCTGTCGAATATGTGTCTAGGCATGTTAACTTGCAGGAAGTCTATCATAAGTGTTATTGTGTTCTTTAGAGTCTATAACAATCATAAACAAGTTTTTAACAACCTTGTTTTACTCTCTCTCTTTTGTACTATATGTCAATTGAGCAAAGCATCTTGGAGTCCTTTCTAATCACTTGCTTCAAATTAGGTATATAATGTTTTAGCCAAAAAAAAGTTATGAACAGACTTCAATCAACTTGTGACCTTAAATAATCCAAATAAGGTGCACCTCCAAATTTTATTATAAGATGTAAATTTAGTATAATATTTTTTAGGGTTGCGTTACAATCTATTTTCATCTCTAATTATGAATTTTTAAACTCCAAAAATGGTTTAAATCAAGTAGATAGGTAAACACATGAAATCTTGAAAATGGACGGTCTAGATAATTTGTTGCAAGATACACTTTTTTTCGAGATTCGAAATCTTTACTTTTTGATATACTCATACATCCGGATGTCAAGATGATCATTTAGAGTCCAATGGATTTTGAGGTGCACCTTAATTCTACATTTTAAGGCTGCGACCTTATATAAACTTTTTCCATCAGCTTTTGATAATTGATTTCTGCATAGACTAAGGACTTTGGTTTTTGATCTACCTAAGAGAAAGTGTTGCAGATGATTGAATTGCCCATTTTTGGTTTATGTATTTCGTGGTTGTATAACCTAAGTTATTTCAAATCCTTGCTTTCTCTTAATATGTTAAAATATCCTTACCACCACAGCTTTTTTCCCTTGGCATGCAAGCTAAAATTAACAGACTAGCCAATCATACTGATCCCCTTAATCCATATATCAGCTTTCAGTGCTCTCTAACTGCCTTATGTAGTGTAATTTTATTTTGGGAAATTGATCAGATTACTTATGAGAGAGGAACAATTTTAACGCTTTGCCAACATCTTTGGATTTTGTTTCAGAATACCAATGGAAAAGCACATGGTGTTGTGTTTGAATAATTGCAAATGGGCAAAATATTAAGTAGTCAATCTCCAATGGGTATTTGGCAAATTGCCTTTTTATTTTTTTTGTCCATTATCTTCCCTATTATTAGTAAGAACCCGAGTTAATTGAAAAACAAATGTAGCACCCCAATATTCGAAAGAAAATATAGCATGCCTCTGAACTTACCAAATACCTTTTTATTTCTGTTTTTTCATTATGTTCCCTATTATTAGTAAGAATTTGAGTCACTTAAAAAAACAAATGTAGCACCCCAATATTCGAAAGAAAATATAGTATGCCTCTGAACTTTGTTGAGAATCATTTTCTTTTTCTCTTGGTTCTTAAACCATAAGAGTGGAACAAGTTTATATATTAAGTTATTTTCTTGACTTTGATATTGTTTTTTTCTGAATTTTTGTATCTCATTCTTATTTGCCCCCATTTTACTCGCTTTCCATGCTTTCATTTGACATTCTCTCAAGTATTTGTGTGATGTATGCACTAAAGAGTAGCTGTTTCATGAAAAAGAGTTAGATGAAGTTGCTTTTCACAGAAGATACTTGTATCAAAGGGAATTCAACACACTAATCAAATTATCTGGTTACTTTGGCATTTCTGCTGATACTCTTCACAATGCAGTGGGGCTTGCTTTCGAGTTAGAAGAAATGTCGTTCTTGCATTTGTGGGATGATTGGGAACCTTCAGAGGTAGCTCTTTCTCATATATGTTTTAATTGCACTGGTTCTTAGGAAGTCCTTTTCGCTCCTATGCTCTCAACTGTTCCAGCACTCTCTCCAGGTAAGGCACCTTCAACTTCAAAGATGTGGAAAGCTTGTAGCAGTTCTAACATCAAAAGAGTAGTAGTGCAAATACAAGTTTTGAGATTTCGCTAGATGTGAACTTCTTGAACTGTCGGGTCCAGTTCATTCTACCCCTATCTTTTTGTTCTGTAACTGCTTGAACCTCCCATTTTCCATTGTTAAATTGCTTTGATAGATCTTCTCGAGCTCTCAACCATTGCTTTACAAGCTACCAGTTAGTTTTTGCCATTTGTCGTCTTTGCTGGAGCTTCATGTAATTGACCCTGTGCTGGTTTATTTGCCCTGTTCATTAGGCAGTCTTTGTCTCTCCTTGGATTACACCAGTATCCGGACATTGGTTTCATCGTTTCGAATGCTGAATAACCTTAGAAACCTTAATCTCATAACATTTTCGTGTGATTTTCTATCTAACATCAGTTACTTGTGAGTGAGTGCCATATCTTTAACGAGTAGATGAGTGCATTGCTAAAGTCTGCTAGCGTTGTGTGCCTTCGTATCTCTTAAACTTTGTGAAATGTTTACTGTCTATGTGATATATTAAGGGTGTGTTTGATTTCTGGAAGATGTGGTTTTAGATATCACATCTTTACAGTACTGTAGCACTTCCCTGTTTGATAACGGGAAGTGTTACACTAAAACTTGATATGACATTATCAACTTACATTCATTTCAACATTAAAAAGTGGATATCACAAGTTCCATGAGTGACCATGAAACTTGTAGTATCCACTTCACTGGACCTCAAGGAAGTTGGAAATCAAGAGAAACACTTCTGGAACATGTATTAATGGGGGTGCTTGGTATGGCCTATGGGAGCTCACCCTGAGGCTCTTTAAAGAGTTCTCAACTGTAGAGCCCATTGATGAACTCCAGCATCTTAAAAATTCTCAACATGTGGGATGCACAGAATTAAACTATATACATGGATTGGAACTAGAGAAACACTGAAGGAGTTGTAGTTTTATTTTTCTATGAACTGCTTTTTCTATCCTTGCTTGTTTTTGGTAAAATGTGAGATAAGGCCAAGGCTTTATGAAATTTTTTTTGAGATAAGGCCTAGGCCTTATGAAAGGATTGTCACTAACAAGTTAGATTTGAAACTTGGGCTAGGGCCACATTATTGATGAAGCTCAA